TTTCCTGCTATGGCAAAAAAAAAAAAAAAAAAAAAAAAAAGGTAACAAAATGTTGGGCACTGTCAAGAAGGGGATTAAAAGAAAAACAAAATAATTCTTTTACACAGAACCACAGGACGTCTTCGTTGGTAAAGTTACATAAGCAGCTCTGATCTGCACATATCAAGGACAGAACAGAGCCTAAGGGGAACAAAGAAGGACAATTAAACGATCAAAGATAGGCTCCAAAAAAAAAAAAGTCCTTTTCAATCTGACAATACAGAGGTAGCCAGGGGACATAATCAAAATCATGAAGAGGCTAGTGCTGCTGAATGACTGAATGATGACTTGGCTCGCCAAATCTCTGGAGCTAAGAGGCACCTTTGAAGCGTAAAGTTCTTATTTTTTAATAGGTCTACTTTGTTTATACAACTGCCAGTGATGACAGCCAGTGCAGGCAGGCTCCTTTGGGAAATCCCTGTTTTACACCAGAGGTTGGGAGAAATCTGAGCCGAGTGGGGGAGGGATCAAGAGTATCCCAATCCCCACTACTTGCCCTCAGTAATGTTGACTGGCTGATTTCTAGTCAGACTTACTTTGTTGCCATTGTCAGCAGTGAATTTTTGGACCTGACCAATCTCAGTGTTTATGAATATGCGTTTAGCCCCCCCCTTTCTGTAGGGATTTTCAACTCTGAAGGTCTGCACTTTGGCACCAAACTGTCTGCCTACAAATGTCTGTAACTTCATCCTTAACTATAGTGTAAAAAGAACAGATTTCTGACTCTAATTTTAACACAATCAATAGAACTCAAGAACGCATGATAAAGAATTATAGCCAACTCTCTAATATTTACACCAGTGCAGGGAAGCACAGGTCTCCCTAATGGAAAACTGAAATATACCCTGCCAGGCTAATGAAATCACACATATGCGCATTTCTTTAGCTATGAACACAGCAGACAAGGGATTCCCCAGGACAGCCTAAAAGCTCTGCTCTTGGGATGTCCTTAATCACACTGGGTAGCAGGTAAGATCAAACCTGGAGCATGCTCTGGTCCAACCACTTGGCCTCCCAAACACGGGATGGCTACCTGATCAAATAAGCATAATGAGCAGTGTACAAAAGCTACGTGAGTTTATAATGGTTTTCTTTTTCAAATTGTTTCTTGAAACAAGAATTCTTTGAGATTGGAAGCCATTTCATCCTACAGAGATGCAATCTACTTGTTACTGGCTCAGTGTTACCGTCATACCTTTCACAGATGTGGTAATACTTCTCATCCTGTATGCCATCCTGAATGGGCACATTTACACTGTAGTACCGTCCTTTCCCTAGGCCAACATCAGATACATCACCTGTTCCTATAAAAGAGAGGAGCACTGTGATCAGTTATTAAGAACACAAGAAACTAGAAAACTTAAAGGATTCTCTGACAGAATTCAGAAGACCAAAAAGGTCAATCAGGAGGATGATCCTGAAGGCATGATGGTTTCTAAGGGAATAAAAGAAAATAAAAAAATAATATAGAGAAATAAATATTGTAAACAATGTTGGGGAAGCAGGTAAACCATAGGAAATTGAAAAACCTTGGTTTTCATATTACTGGATCAAATAAAAACTGAGAGATTAACTCCTTCACTTGACTTTTCACGCTTTCTAGGTTGACATAATATTAATACATCATTGCAATTATCAGGATGTTAGGAGTTACATGGGGTATCTGATTGTATGGTAAGCATAAGTAATCTGGTTGTTGACAGTCCATAAAAATCTGGAAAAAAAAGTATTATTGTCATTCCTCTTGTCATTGGCATCTGAAGTGACCTGTGTTAAAATTTTGCATAGAATAGCACCAATAAAGTATTAACAGCATGGAACTATCCAAATATAAGATATAAGAAATGTATAGAAGAATTGCAATATTTATTTATCAAATGTAATACTGAACACATAGGTTACTTGCCTGGGAAAAATCCTGGGGAGAATTTGTGCAGGGACACAGTCATGACTTTGGAAGTGAAACTGAAGGCATCTTCTACACCTACCACAGAAAGAAATGTCAGAAGAATCACTTCATACATAGAACTCCTGTTTTCAACACCTGAAAATCTAGAAAGCAGCTGTGGGAAGAAGGGAAGATGAGATGGCAATAATAATAAAGCTAATGAGCTGTGGAATAAAAGTAATACAAACCTCTGGTTGCTGATCTCTGTAATTACAGGATGAGGTAGATCTTTGGCCCAAGTGAAGTTTATGTGTTCATTTTCAAATTCACGGCAAACTGGAAATGGACTTCTGCTATGGGTCAAATTTGGCCCTTAAAAGTTCATGTATTGGAAACTTGACCCCCACTGTAACAGTGTTAAGAGGGTGGGAAATCCTATTATGGTAATTGAAAGGTGGGGCCTTTAAGAGGTGATTAGATTGTGAGGACTGTATCCTTGTGAATGGATTAATCCATTGATAGATTAATGGGTCATCATTGACATGGTTATGATGGCTTTATAAGGAGAGTGAGTGAACAGGTTAGCTCTCTTTTGCTCAGCCCATTTGCCATGTGATATCCTGTGTTGCTGTAGACAGTCACCACCAAGAAAAAGGTCCTTAGCAGATGTGTTCCCTGGACTCTGAAACTGTAAGAAATAAATTTCATTTCTTTATAATTACCCAGTTTCAGGTAATCTCTTATAAGCAGCAGAAACGGACTAATACCGAAAATTGGTACCAAGAAGTGGGATGTTGCTTATAGCAAATACCTGAAAATGTGGAAGCAGTTTTTGGAACTGGGTGATGGGCAGAGGCTGGAAGAATTTGGAGGAGCAGATTAGAAAAAGCCTAGATTCTGATGAGGGCTTAGAAGACATGAAGACCAGGGAAAGTTTGGAAAGTCTTAAAGACTGATTAAGTGGTGGTGACCAGATGCTGATAGAAATATGGACAGTAAAGGCCACTCTGAGGAGATCGTAGATGTAAATGAGAAGCAAGAGAATGGAAGAAAGACCCCAAAGGCATTTCAGAAATATTCCATGTGTCTCCTCCCATCACAGGCCAAGAGGCCTAGGGAGACAGAATGGTTTTGGGGAATAGGCCCGAGGTGCCCTCTACAGGCTCGCTGCCCAGGGCCACCTTGGGATGCTGCTCCCTGTACCCTTGCTGCTCCAGCTGCTCCAGCCATGGCTGAATTGGTGCCAGGTGCTGCTGGACCTGCAGCTTCAGAAGATACAAACTGGAAATCTTGGCTACGTCCACATGGTGTTAAATCTGCAGGCTTGCAGAATGCAAGAGCTTGTGGAGGCATCTTACCCAGATTTTCAAAGGATGTATGGAAAAGTCTGGGGGCTCAGGAAGAGATCTGTCACAGGGGCAGAGTCACTGCAGAGAGCCTCCACTAGAGCAATGCTGAGGAGAAATGTGGGGTTGGAGTTGCAACACGGGGCCCCCACCAGGACCATGATCTAGTGGAGCCGTGAAAGGGGGACCACCACAAGGACCCCAGGATTGTGGTGCTACCAAAGTGGAACACCAATCTGGGAGAGCTGAAGCATAGGCTGAACCCAGGAAAGCTGCATGGGTGGGGCTGCCTGAGGAATTGGAGGCCTAACCCCCGAACCAGTGCGCAGAGGATGCCGGACATGGAGTCAAAGGAGATTATTCTCCACCTTCAAGATTTAATGCCTGCCCTGCCCTGCTTTTAGACATGCTTAGGACCTGTGACCCCTTTCTTCTAGCCTATTTCTCTCTTTTTGAATGTCCCACCGTGGTATCTTGGAAGTAGATAACTTGTTTCATTTCACAGATGAGACTTTGTACTTTTGAGCTGACACAAGTTAAGACTTTGGGGATGGCTGGTTGATTAGCTTGGTTGGTTAGAGCACAGCCTTATAACTCCAAGATCACGGATTTGGATCCCCCTACCAGTCAGCCAGCAAACCAAACCAAACAACAACAACAACAAGACTTTGGGGATGAAATGAATGTATTTACATGTGAGAAGGATATGAGCTTTGGGGGCCAGGGGCAGAATACTATGGGTCAAATGTGTCCCCTAAAAGTTCATATGTTCGAAACAATCTCCATCCTAACAGTGTTAAGAGGGTGGGAAATCCTATTATGGTAATTGAAAGGTGGGGCCTCTAAGAGGTGATTAAATTGTGAGAACTGTACCCTTGTGAATGGATTAATCCATTGATGGTTTAATGGGTGGTCATGGGTATAGTTATGATGGCTTTATAAGGAGAGCCAGTGAGCAGATTAGCTCTCTCTTGCTTAGTCCATTCTTGCCATGTGATACCCTGCATTACTGTGGAGAGTCACCACCAAACAGAAGGCCCTGATTAGATGTGTTCCCTAGACCTTGGACTTCACAGTCTCCAAAACTGTAAGAAATAAATTTCATTTCTTTATAAATTACCCAGTTTCAGGTATTCTGTTATAAGCAACAGAAACAGACTAATACAACTTCCCCTTTCCATGCAATGGGATATCTGGGTTCTCTTCGACAACCTATTCTAAAAGGTACAGAAGGGAAAGAGCTCAGAATTGAGGCATTACCAACAGAACTGAATAGAGGAAATTGGCATCATCTTGGAAGTTTTATGTTTTGTTTTGTTTAAGTGGTTCTAGTTAAATTCTTGGGATTTTTTTCAAAGAGGTACAATGTGACAACCCTTTGAAAAATATGACAAATATAAACATTAGGCATTAGACAGTGAAAACCTAATTATTCAATGCCTCTCTATAATGCAAGTTTGGTTATAAATGCAGGTCACCCAAGGTCCAATGTGTACTTATAGTAACTTATGGTACTTCTTTCTGTCTAGAATATGGAAGACTGAAACTAGCCATGTCCTTGTCCTCATAGCAGCTTTATAAGAGAGTTTCAAAGCCTAGAGAAAGATGAAGGGAAAAACTTTTCTAGAATGGGTCTCCTTTCCATTTAAACAGAGTCAGAAAAAGATCAGAGGCCTGGGAGATAAAAGCTGGGATTTAAAGTAACCCTTACAAGCCACTGCTTATACAGATAAACACTCTGCCCACCTCCACTCCTTTCCTTTTGGAATCACATATAGTCATGCTATGTTCAGATAATCAGTCTGTAAAATGGAAGGACTATTAGCAAATTCAGGTACTATCTTCTTTTATGCTTCAAACAAAGAAATTGTCTCATGTTAGGGCCGGCCCGGTGGCACACTGCTACAGTGTGCTGCTTGGGAGCGCAGCAGCGCTCCCACCGAGGGTTCGGATCCCACATACAGACCGGTTCCCGCTCACTGGCTGAGCGAGGTGTGGGTGCAACACCGAGGGTTGCGATCCCGTTGCCGGTCCTGGTCCGGTACAGGCGCATCACTGAGGGTTGCAATCCGTTGCCGGACACGAAAAAAAAAAATTGTCTCATGTTTACTTAATGTTTTCAGTCTTCATTGGAGGCCAACAGAGACCTTAAAAAATATTAACTCTGCTTGTATATAACAGGTATGTTTTAATTTCCCAAGCCTTATGTTTTGCCCTAGGGAGGCAGTTAAAATCAGTTAAAGGCTCCAGACACAGAGGATGAAGTAAATGAAATAAAACAAAACAAATGAAAATAGAATTTCAACTTAGAAACTAAAGTGTAAACAAGGATAATTCATGAAAATCCTGATTACTTATCCATCCGGAAATGTTGTACCAATTTACACTTTGACCAGTTGCGTACGAGAATTCCCATTTTTTCACACCTTGAGTAGCACTGGCTATTATTTAATATATTTTTAATCTTAGGCATAAAGAATTGTGTTGTTCAAATTTGCATTTCCCTTAATACTAGGGTGTTGAACACCTTTTCATATGTTTAGCGACCATTTATATTTCTTCTCATGGAAAATACCATTAGGCATGGTTATAAAATCGTACTTAAAAGAGGACGGAGACAGATAGGTAGAGGATACGGACTTGGTGCGAAAAGAGAAAAATGGTTAAGTAGATGAAAGAAGGCGAGGAGGGGATAGGCCTCTAATGAAAACTGAAAACATTAAGTAAACTCAGAGACAATTTCTTTGTTTGAAGCATAAAAGAAGATAGTACCTGAATTTGCTAATAGTCCGTCCATTTTACAGACTGATTATCTGAACATAGCATGACTATATGTGATTCCAAAAGGAAAGGAGCGGAGGTGGGCAGAGTGTTTATCTCTATAAGCAGTGGCTTGTGAGGGTTAAGAGTGTCTAGTGAAGCCACCACAGGATGCTAGTTATGGAATCATGGGAGATTTAAAATAAACCAAATGTATAAGAGTTTGGGGGTGGGGCAGGGGTCACTGGAAGGGAGGTGCTGAAGAGGGGAAATAAACTGAAATGAAACACACCATAAAAGTTGGCTAAAACAGGAAACTCTAAATGGTGTAGAAATAACATTGCAAATGGAAAGAGCGGTTTCAGGTGACAGTCTTATTTCATTCTTATATGGTTCAATAGAGTTGATTCTATTCTTGAACTGTGATACTAATACTTTGAATTTCATAATCATTCATTCATTCAACAAGTATTTCACTGAACCACTACTCTATGCATAATACTGTTGCTTCTAGGCATTGTACAAGGAAGAAGGAAGTAAACAACTTGATCCCTGCTCTGGAGGGACTTAAAGTTTCTATGGCAAGAGAAGATATGGACTCATTAAAAAATTAACTAACAATATAAGACAAAATATGATTAAACACCAAATCATAGATATAAACAATATAGGACTTGAGAAGAGGGAGAGAACACTTGGGTTGCAGTGGTCAGGGAAAATCTGATAGTGTTGGAATTTGAGCAAATGGGGAGACCTTGGAGATAGAAAAGGAGAGGAGAAAGCAAAACTAAGTTAGGAGAAAGGGAGGCAAAGTCAGGGAGGTGGGAATAGCGAGACATGCTCACTGAGTAGAGTAGACTGGACGGCAAGTAGTGAGAGATCGGGCTGGGAAGATAGGTGAGGCCTATCTGAGGCAGGCCTTGAAAGACATGTAAAGAGCGTGGATTTTACCTTGAAGACCACTGCAGGATGACTGGGGTATTGTGAAAATGTAGATTCTTTGGTTCTATACCAGACCGACTAAATTGGAATATCCTGTGGATATGAACCAGCAACCTGCATTTTAAAACAAATTTCTCCCAGGTCATTTTGATGCACGTTCAAATTTGAGAACTACTCCTCTAGGCCAGGGGTCAGCAAACTAAATGGCTTGTAGTGAACATTTTAAGCTTTGCAAACTACTATGGTTTTTATTGTGCACCTGTGCACACACGCACATGTGTATGTGTATATTTCTAAAGAATTGGAATAAACCATTCTTAGCTCACTGGCCATACAAAAATAAGACATGGGTCAAATGCCCTTATTATAGGCAATAAGGAGCCTGTCAAGGTTTCTGACAAGGCTATGTTTTGCACTCTGGCTGTATTCAGATATTCAGTGAATGTTGTTCTCAAAGTAGTATGTTGGTAGTTTTTTTTTTTTCCCCTTTTTGTCTTTTTTCGTGACCGGTAACGGGATCGCAACCCTCGGTCTCACGCCCGCACTGCGCTCAACCAGTGAGCAGACCAGTCTCTATATGGGATCCGAACCCTCGGCAGGAGTGCTGCCGCGCTCCCAAGTGCTGCACTCTATCGAGTGCGCTACCGGGCCGGCCCAATGTTGGTAGTTTTAACCTTCCTCTTTTCTCTCTTTGACTTTTAATTTTCTGTCACCATTCCAAGGTAGCATCCATGCAGGTGATGCTCCCTGAGGAGGTTTCCCCTGCAATTTCTTCTTTCTTTTTCTGTTTTAGCAGCAGAGCTGACCCTAACCTCAGACACATACTACTATTCTTTTCCTCCTTTATGTCTTGATTATGTTAGCTCATCTCAAAAAAAAAAAAAAAAATCCCTGGAAACAAGGAAATAGCAGTCACTGATGTGGGGGCAGGGGAGGGATATCCTTAACTAATAATTTACTGGATAAGTGTTCCTAGATGAATGGAAATACTATGCCACAGACAGAATTTCTTAAAGAAACAGAATGTGGCAACTGTCACCAGAGTTCTACCTTCTAGATGGAAAGTACATGGGAGGGCTAGATAAGTCTTTTCAGTGGAGTCTTCTAAGAGGGGATTAATGGGTTAAGGAAAAATGTTAGGAGATTCTACTAAAAAAATAATAAAAAAAGTTAGGGAAGATGCACTGGGTTTGTACAAGACCAGATAGTTTAGTAATCAAAGAAAGTGGCACATACTCGGATCATTACACAAGTTGGTAGCCTACTGGTTGAAAAATTTAGAATGTTAGCCCATCATACACCTGTTCTATCTTGAGAGAAACATCGATGAGAAGAGATAATACTATCAGCTGTAACCACAGATTTCACTTAGAACCAATGGAAATGACCTAAGGGAGGTTACTGAGCACTGAATGGTAAGGGTAAGGGTTCCACTTTTTTTTTTTTCCTTTTTGTCTTTTTTACTGACCGGCAACGGGATCACAACCCTTGGTGTCGTGCCCGCACCGGGGACCGGCAACGGGATCGCAACCCTCGGTGTCGCGCCCGCACCGGGGACCGGCAATGGGATCGCAAGGGTTCCACTTTTTAACATTTTCTACTATAGAGCTTTGCTACAGGAAGAAATGGGAGAGGAAATTACAGGAGCCTACCTTGGACAGCAAAGCAGAAAATGCCTCAGTTAGAGGAATCTCTACACCACCTACCTTAGAATTCTCAATCAGGAAAATTTCAACTGCAACATGCATTTCTCTTTTTACCATTTGCATAGAAGCAGCTTTACTGATAAAAACCTGTTGTCCTAGCAGCAAAGTACCTTTGAAACTGAAGGGCTTACCATCTCCATGGTGCAGATCCAAATCCACATAGAGAATACGGTCAAATTTCCGTCGCAATCGTAATATTCCCAGGACAGCATCATTGAGATAACAAAAACCAGATGCTTCGTCTCTGCAAGAAAACAAGTTGCTACAGCCAACAGCCAAAAAGCAATCCAAGGGAGTCTTTACAGCCAAGGATATAACCCTTGAGATCTAGTCCCTTAAAATCTCTTCTTTTAAGAAAAACAAAAATCCAGCTACAAAGATTATATGGTAAATGGCCCAGAATGATCAGGAAATGAAGTGTTTTGGTAATACTCAGGTTGATTGGTGACATTTTCCATTCAGAATCCCAGATTCTCAAAGTATTAGAATATCATAACTATACTGAACAAGACAGAACTTTTCTTTGATGATTTAGGAATCACTTCAAAAAATTTGTATTATTCTGGGGTCATCATGATGAACACTAATGATCACTTATAGGACTTTCAGCAAGCTAGAATCTAGAAGGGGTCTTAAAGACAATCTTGCTTAGCCAGATGTAGAAGATGTTGGGGACAGGATTCTCTGTACTGACCGTATGACACAACTTAGAAGTTTTTGTTGTTGTTGCTGTTGTTTGTGTTTGGTTGTTTTAAATAAGCTTGGCACTTGTTGCTCAGAAAAGCCAAGTGTAGAATGTACAAATGCACAACCTCCTGGGCAGCATAATGTGGTAACCTTTCTATAAGTGTAATTATTACAATGAAGAATGAAGCAGTCTTTTCTAAAGTTATTTTGTTTTGTTTCTTTCACAAAAATTGTCTTCATTGACTTCACTGGTATTCTTTAACTTTTCTGAAATCAGTGATACTGTGTCACCTTAACCTCTTGTCAACATTAACCCATTCTTTTATTATACTTCCATTAAGCCTTGTTAATTAGATGTAAAAGAACATTCTTTGTCAAGAGTATATTATAATTTATTTTTAAGGCCTCATCCTAAATGCTTCAGTTTCTTTCTCTTCCACACACACCTCAAAATCCAGCCCACTTTTTTTCTAAGTTCTCCCTTAGGCTTTATTTGAAACAGAATTTTAGGCATAAGCAACATTTAAAATGGCATCTTTGCTACTATGAGACTATAAGATCTTTCTAGTGCCTATACAATGCATAAACTTATTCATGAAATCTCTTCCATAATATCATATTATATTCTAAACAATGCTCTGTTTCACAGGCTGAATCAATGAGACAGGTACACTGGTGAGCAGGAAGTTGGTAAAACTATCACTAGACACTGACTTTGCTTCATGAAAGTGAACTCAGCAATCATCCAGCCAAAGAATAACTTGGCCCTAGGTATGCAACCAGGAAGAAACCAACTAAAGAAAAGGATTTGTCCATCCATGAATTCTCCATAAATAAGAATTAAATATGTGACTTTGAAAGTTCATGGCTATGAATGCTTTTTTCCAATTATGAAAAGCTTACATTTTATAAGTCTACTGCCTTAGCTCATCAAAAAAGAGATAATCTGTCCTCCTACTGAACATCAATAACTTTTGGATAGATGGGCTGGAACACTAAGTGCTACGCAAAAAGAAGAGGGAGATGAGGAGAAGGAATACAAATCAATACAAGACATACTTCCTTCCCTCAGAGAACTTACAATTAAGTTAGGGGGAAAAGTCATAAGCAGTGAAAAACAAAAAACTAACCATCTAAACAAAAAAGGCAACCAAAAATAATCTGGTATATACAGGAGAATATAGAGAAATTCTACAGACAAAATTGACAAAGTAGGCTCATCTCACGGACAATATTGCACTTTATCTGAGCCCAGTGCTTCTGGACAGCACTGATGGTTAAGGACCCCCTCCCCCTTTTTGCATTCCAAGAAACAGCTAATCACAAAGGACCACATTGCCCTGGCATATTCCAAGGTAAAACCCATCCTCACCCTTCCTCATGCCTCCCATAAGATTTGCAGACAACTTCCTTTTTACCTGCCTCTATAAAACTCCTGGCCCCCTTCTTTTTCTTTAAGGTGTTCCTCATTAATGAACATTTTCCCTATGGCAATAGTCAGAAAATAATAATGATGATGATTTCTGTAATTCAGAAAGGCCTTTACATCTCATTGTGTGAATGTTTAATATTTTCCCACCTCTGGATGGTACTACCAAATTAGATTATAAAATTACTTAAATTAAAGGAGCTCTATTCTCATTGGCTTATAGAAATAAACAAGCTTTTAGATAAACAGAAAATTCCTAAAATTCCCAGAAGATAAGGAAATTGAGCTTTTAAGACTTTCAATGTGCTAAAAAAAAGTATTCCTATAAAAACAAACTCAGGTGTTTTAAGAATCCAAATTCACATAATTTAGGTATATCTTTGGCAAATAAGACTAGCATAGTAATTCTGTTAGGTATAATACACAGGTAGATTTTTACTCTACTTGGGTATGCTCTTCCTAAACATATACAGGTTTACTGATTGAATAAGCTAACATTACTTCTACTAAATGTCTAAAATAATGAAAAATATAAATTTGTTTGACCAAGTTTGTCATCATTCTGACAAACTGTATTTCAAAAATAATTATGTTTTATAGTGTATCAGCTTGAAGATAATTTACAAGACCTTTAGGTAATTGAAAACTGTGGACTGATACTAAACTGAATTAATTAAAGATATCCATTACATACCTAGACCATTTCTAAGGAAGAAAATGCTAGAACATTAGTTATTACACATAATTTCGGGTTTATATGCTTTTGCTTCTAACTTTTACATGCTACAGAGAGGCCATATATATTTAGGTCTATTAATGAACCTGTTCTTTTTTGCTAATTAGAGACATTGTACTTAAAAAAAATGTCTATGAATATACAAAGTTGTAGAGGGTTCATTCACAGAAAGGGAATTTTATTTGTTGAGGTCAGAGCTGGCTAAGGTTCAATGAATTTATTTATAAGATTTCCAAAAAGAACTTTAGTATCAAATACACTGATGTGAAACAAGAATTTGGTTTCCCTAGTTAAAATGACAAAAGTTTTTCGGATTATTGGTCTGTTCCTAATAACAGGTTGTAAAGGTTTTGCTTTACCTTCTTGAGTAATCTTCCTAGATAACGAACATTCTATGTCTTACTAGAGTAATCTTCTAAGGTTTATGTTGACTTTGTGATGTCCTTGACTATTTAAGAAAGCAAAGTCTTCTCACTTAGGAAAGAGCTGAGGTTCTTTACAATCACGTTACTTCCTATGCTTACTTTTAAAATCTTTTATTGTCACTTTAGTAAAATAAAGAGTCAAATATTGTTTTTCAATAACCCATAATCAAGTCCCAGAGGGCCCGTGGAAAATCACGAAGAATTTGTTCTTTCACCTTGTTAAAAGAGAGGTGCTAGAAATAGTTGGGTTTATCTGATATGTTTTTATTGAGGGGGTGCATGGGAAGAGTTGTCAAATCAGAAGAGATGCTCTGCCTTCTCTAGGTTAAATTGATATCAGTAAAATGTTGTTAATGTAAATATTTTAAGAATTACATGCTGTATGGGAAGCTCCTACAGATTCATCAATGCCCTCACTGGCTGTGATATGTTTCTATTTGTCAGAGTCCTGGTGTTGCTTTGCCAAATAGACATCTACAACACAGTTGGCCCTTTGTATCTGCAGGTTCCCATAAATTCAACCAACCATGGATGGAAAAATATTCAAAATAAAAAAAAATGACAACACAACAATAAAAATAATACAATACAAAACAATACAGTGTAACAACTATTTGCATAGCATTTACATTGTGTTAGGTATTATAAGTAATCTAGAGATGACTTAAAGTATACATGAGAATGTGCATAGGTTATATGCAAATATTATGCCATTTTATATTAAGGACTTGGGCATCCGAGGATTTTGGTATCTGAGGGAGGTACTGGAACCAATCCCCTGCTGATAATGAGTGACAACTGTATAGCATTTTCAGTCATAATTTCAGTTTTTTAAAAAATGTTAACTTTGAGCCACAGGCAGCACCCACAGCACCCACAGGAGCACACCCAAGGTCCTAGGCAGGAGCTACAATCAGCCCCCACTGCCCGGAAAAGGTAGGAGCATGCCTGGAGTCCTAGGCAGGAGATGCAGGCAGCACACCCCGGAAGAAGGCAGGAGCACACCTGGGATACTAGGCAGGAGCCACGGGCAGCCCTCGCTGCCTGGCAGAAGGTAGAACACATCTGAGGTCCTAGGCAGGAGCCACAGGTAGCACCCCCTACTAAGTAGAAGGCAGGAGCATGCCCAAAACACCACTTCAATGGGAGTAGTCCACCACAGCCACTGCCACAGCTACTGCCACTGCAAAGCAGGCTTACCACCACAGTAGCAGCCATGGCCACTGTGCAGGTGGCCCATAGCCCATTTGACTGCACTGACACAAGGAGAGTCACAGTGGAGACCAGAAAAAGAAGAGGAAGTCTTTCTCTTCAAAGTCCACTCCAAAGTAATTGAAGAAGCAACTGCTCTACCAGGTGCCCAGACATCAATGTAGGGATACTACAAATATGAAAGACTAAGAAAATATGATACCACCAAAGGAATACAGTAATTCTCAAGTACCAAACACAAAAGAGCAGGAAACCCTTGAAATGACTGAAAAGGAATTCCTAGCAACAATCTTAAGGAAAATCAATGAGATACAAGAAGACACAGTTAGACAACATAATGAAGTGAGAAAAAATAACCAGGATATGAAGGAGGAAATTTACAAAGATTAATGCCTTAAAAAGATTGTAGCAGAGCTCCAGGAACTGAAGGATTCATTCAATGAAATTAAAAAAAAAAAAAAAAAACAAAAAACTGAGAGATTAAGCAGCAGGTTAGAGCAAGAAGAAGAAAGAATTTCTGATCTTGAAGACAGTCTTTCTGAAATAACCCAGATGGAACAAAAAAAGGTAAAAAGAACTTTAAAAAATGAAGAAAATCTAAGAGCACTAGCAGACAACCTTAAGTGCACAAACATCCAAATCATGGCTGTTCCAGAAGGGGAAGAGAAAGGAAAAGACTATTTCATGAATAGGTTTTCCTATTCAATGAAATAATAATGGAAAACTTCCCAAGTATAGGGAGAGACGCAGACCTT